CGCTTTGGAAAGTCCTACCTGTTCCGTGAAGTGTTTTCGGAGATGGAACTGCTGTAGGTTAAACTAGTCCGCACATGCAGGTCTCACCCCAGACCCCCACACGAGCCTTCTGGTAAGGTGGCAGAGCGCTTGAATGTTTTCCATCCCGTTGATACGGGGTGTGGTTTTGTAGACTTGTAACTTCTTGAATTTCAGTACACTTGGACAAAAAGCCCCGTGTCGATGTAAGGCTGCAGGTTAGTGTGAACTGAGAGCGGTTACCTGTTGCAGAGATTGATAGCAGGGGGTGACCCAAACCTGTGAGCATATCAGTGGCATGCAGCCCTAAAAATGATTCGTGCTCCGGTGCTGCAGTTTTGTTGCCTTGCTAAATCTCCCTGTACACGCTTGGGCGAACGCTCGCTGACTGGGACCACGCGTGCTTTGAAAGGATTCTTCGCCAGCCGGAAGCGTTCTGCTGGAGCCGCAATCCAGGATGCGTTATGTCTGTAGCCAGTGAGTGAGGCTTGGTAACCCCAGCTGTAGGTGGGAAGTGCATCCAGCCCTAGATTGACTCCCTGTCCACCTGGGACATAACTATGGTGGTGGTGTTACTTGTAAAAAAGAAGGCAGTCTGTGACTCTGATGTTGTTTCTGGACCTGTGTTTTTGGTGCCTTACAAATCAGTCGTCATACTGATCACCTACTGTTTATAAGAACGCAGCAAAACGCTTTATGAGGCTACGGCTCTGAACGCACAAGGCGAGTCCCTGACGTGCAACACTCGAATAGGTGCGCGGTAAATCTTAGTGGCAGCTGGTGAGCTGTTCTTACGGGCGGTACCATCACGCCGTTGCATTCCCTCTTTGGAATGATACACGGTAAACAGAGCTGGATGCACACGAGGATTTTGCGGGTAAGGACTAAAACCTAGCAGAGCCTCATCGCTAGGGGATTATATTCGCTGTATCCATTGGTAGGCTTGCGTTGCCCGTTATCTAACGTATAACTCTTCTGTGGATTAGGATGTGACAGATTGCATGAGGAAACGTCAGCCTGACTGGAACTCCTGTTCTCAGGTCGGTTGAGCAGCTCAGCCCACATGAAACAAGTGACAGCAGGGTCGGAGGAGTAACAAGCTGAGTAAGCTTCAACAGGTGTAGCCTTGTATTCACCCAAGAGTGCAGGAATTGGGAAAAGTGATTTTTTTTGTAGGGAGTAATTGCTATTAATTTTAATCTCTTCAGCTTTTTAAGAGGCAATATTCTGGCAGTGAATCTGTTATACCAGAAGCAACCCTCTTGCCTTTGCTTTGAGGCTTACGTGGTCTGTGTAATGCCTTGTTTCCTCGGCTCCATCACATCTCCCATACAAGCCTTTGTTTTATTCTCTTAACCAGTTTCTGGACTCTCTTCTATTTTGCATCTGTAGTGGAAAGCTCTGCTTCCTCTGACCTGGTCTCTCAAGCTGCGTGTCTTTTTTTTCATCCCACTCATTCCTGAAAAATGGCCTTTTCTGAGATATGTACAGTTTCTGAGTCAATATTTCTCCATTTCCTTTTGTAAACAACAACAGTCATTCACAATTCAAAATGAGTAATGCAGTTGCTGTGCTGTGGGCTTCTGTCAAAGGAGGACCAGTGATCTGAAGGGCATTTCCAGGCTGGCATTCTTTTATGTGAAGCAGAAGGTATTTCTTCCATTCAGGTTCTTAAGTCTCCCTTCTCATTTCAGTATAAATCTACCACTCAGAATGTATCGACCAAAATGATTACATTTTTTTTCATCCAAAGCTTTTCTTCATTCTTTTCCCAGGGAAGCATTAACCACTATTTAAATAAGCTGTAGTCTGAGTCTCTCTCTTTTTCTTTTTCCTCTTCCCTCCAGAGGTGCTGAGATAAGCATGCTGAAATTCTTGTGAATTAGGCCTCACTGTTGCACAGGGATCACTGTGCTGGTAGGGAGTTTCATGCTTGTTTTGATCCACTGCTTTTCTCTTTCATTTTCTGCATTGATTTGGAATTGTATTTTGAAGAATAATCTTTGTTATATATGCAAAGTGGTTCTTTGATCCACAGTGTAGTGTCTGGATGTCTGTGGACCATCTGTCAGACTGATTCTTCCAGGACAGATCAGTTCAGGTTGTCTGGAAGGGCTCCCATTCACTGTGTTGGTTTCAGGACTGTGGATCTCTGCTGAACAAACCAGAACTGAAGCGTGCTGGGGAGCTTTTGGTTTTTGGTGAATGGCATTTTTCACATGTGGTGATGTGACCGTGTGATGTGGTGATGACATCTGGGGATCTGGTCTGAAGAGCAGACCTATTGGTAAAGGATCCTAAAGTCTTCTGAGCAGGGATATTTTTTTTTTTTTCTCCCAAATCTCCTGGCTATATGAAAGTCTCAGTGTATGGAAATGGCTGAAGGGTAACTGTGTGTTGTGCAAAAGCTGTGCTAATCCTCTGCTGTAATTCCTTGTTTCTGAACCATGATATGTTACCTGTATAGCACTCTGGGATGGAAGAGGGTAACATAAATGTAGAATTACTGCTTCAAGGGAAAAGGGATGAGTGTTGGCTCGAAGTTTCAACATCGGTTCCTTTCTATATAAATCACTATTTCGGTTTAAGCCATAGCAAAGACACAACTGAATCTTTCCGGTAAAGAATTTCAGGCATTTTGAAATACATGCAGAGGGGCAGGGCTTCCAGCGTGTAGTCTTCATGAAAGAGCTCTCTTCCATTTTCAGTACTGAATGAATTTCAGAAATTAGAGTTGCTAAAGATTAAAGAAAGAATGCTTAGCCAATTTTACACCAACTCTTTTCCTTTTGCAGCTTCTAGTTTGAAGGGTAAATTTTTCTTTGCCAAGCTACCTACTCACACAGTAAGCGTGCCTCAGCACAGTTATAGTTCTGTTTATCCTCAGTAACCACTTGTGCTGCTGTTAGTCTGAATTCCTTTCCAGGGAGGAGGGGGCTTAAATTTAGCCCAGAGATCTTGCATAGCTGGATAGGCCAGTGCTTTTCTTTTGATTGTTCTGTTTATTATTATTATTTTTAACCTTGAGGTGTCATTTGCAGACTGTGCTTTGGTTTAGGAACCTGGTTCTCTCTCTTAGTCTCAAGGCTCCCCCAGTAGAGCCGGGAACGCTCTTGAGATGCTCTAGCTCCTGTTCTCTGTATATAGCATTTTTTTCATTTTAAAAGCATTTTAAAGCATTTCATGCTTTAAACTTGGTTTAATTTTTTTCCTTGAAATGTAACTGCAGTCTCACGTTAGTAAGTTGTCTAGCTACTTCAGTATCTATTAAGTAGCTGTTCTGGAGTGTGAACTTCTTTGTGCGCCTTTCTTTTAGACATCTATTCTGATGGCCAAGCATGGGCAACTACTTGTTTGAGAATGACTCTTTGAAGTGATGGAGAACTTAAATTTTGAGAGTTCATCTTAAAGTCTTAAATATTATTATGTGACTCATCAAGTTATAGAATGTTTGAAGTAGTTATCCAGACTGTTTCTAATATAAAGAGTTAAAACATGTTGATTCATCTGAAACTTCCTTTCAATCTGTTGTATGGCTTTTTCCCCACTTCCGTGTTCACCTTGTCCTTTATGGCTGTTTTTCATTTCTCTCTACCTTTAGTTTCTTCTGCTGTTCTTATTTGGATGTTTGATAAAAGCAACAAAACAATTAGAGTATGTCATGGTTTAGCTTCAACCCGCAGCTAAGCACCACAGAGCCGCTCACTCACTACCCCTTGGCAGGATGGGGCGAGAATTGGAAGTGTAGAAGTGAAAAAACTCATGGGTTGAAATAAAGACAGTTTAATAGGTAAAGCCAAAGCCACCCATGCAGGCAAAGCAAACCAATTTGCTACTTCCTATCAGCAGGCAGATATTTCAGCCATCTCTAGGAGATTCTCCATTTCATCCATCTGTAGGAAAGCAGGGCTCCATCACGCGTAATCGTTACTTGGGAAGACAAATGCTGTAACATCCCTGCAGCGTATATACTGAGCATGAAGTCTTACGACATGATATATCCCTTCGGTCAGTTTAGGTCAGCTGTCCTGACTGTGTCTCCTTCCAGCTTCTTGTAGAGAAGCAGCTGGGAGCACAGGTACGGTATGAGAAACTGAAAAAGTCCTTGGCTTAATGTAAACATTGCTTGGCAACAACTGAAACATCAGTGTTACCAACATTCTTCTCAGCACAAATCCAGAACATAGCCTCATACTAGCTACTGTGAAGAAAATTAACTCTATTTCAGCCAAAACCAGCCCAGAGTGAAACAGGGAAGTTCTTTGGCCAGATGTTGCCATTAGGTATGAATTTCTGTTTTCTAAGTATTAATGCCTGGGTGAGAAATCCAGGACACACAACCATCTGTTCTTGCAGTCCCTACAATGAATGTGGAATTTCCTCTGTTGACCATATGTTTTCCATTGCTGTTGGAAGAGTAACATGAATTCGGCATTGAAATTTTTAAGCATCATAATAGAGGATCCGAGAAAGCAGAGAATTGGAAAAATACCTGATCGGAGGCTTTAGGGTAGAGAGACTCCTCAGAACCTGGTTTTTTTACCTTTGGTTGTAATTAACTAAGTCTTCTGAATCCCTCAAAACCTCTCTGCGTTAATAGATGCGTATTTTTGTGTGTGGTTGAGTGGGGAGGCATTTGGAGGCAGACGTGTGGTGAGGAACCGTTCGCTTTGCTCTAACGTGGGAGCGGAGTGAGAAATGCTGCTGCTGGCAGCAGGCAGGCAGGGCGCTGGACTAGGGGGCAGGTGATTTTGCTCTCAGTGGTTCTTACTAAAATAAGAACGCATGGGGTATCGGGGCAAAAACGATATTGCTTCGCGATCGTTACGTAATTCCTCGTTAGGTGTGAGTTCGTGATCTATTGCAAGCTTAGTAAAAAAACCCAAACCAACCCCTCTGTTCTTTCCTTACAGTCTTCCTCAGTTACCCAGAGAAAACCCCACGTGCCCCATAGGAGCGTTGCTGCACTGCAAGCCAACCCGATGGCGTCCTCCACTGCTGTGCCTGTAGGATTTCACTATGAAACAAAGTACGTAGTTCTCAGCTACCTGGGACTTGTGTCACAAGAGAAGCCACAGGAGCATCCCCCTGCTTCCACTCAAGGTAATATTTGCATATTCTGTACCTATTTGCATATGTAACGATGTTGCTGTTGGTTTTTCAGCGGTTGGTGCATGGGTGCGGAATGCCAGCCTGATGTTTAGCATAATGCATCTCATTTAATCATTTTAAATAATGGGAAGAGATGCTGATGGAAACAAAGCTGTTTGTATTTAGATTACTGTTTCAATTTGAGCTATGCCAGTGCTGGTCGGAGTTTATGAAGCAAATAAGGGGGTTTAGTGGCTGTCTTCAGCTAAGGAGGGATAAATATGTGTTCACTTTGTTGAGCCATCTTGAGACTTTGAGCCCGTGCTTGATTTTTTTGGAGAGCAAGTAGAAGTAAGCAGGGGTGAGGTGTTGTTTACCAGCAGAAACTCTGAGCAATGACTTGAGCAATCTCATGTGCTAAATAGTTTTGCCCTATTACGTTAACGCTTCTGTGATTGTCAGTCAGGGGCAGAGATGTGGGGCTTAACCTATGCTGTATCTCTTTATTTATTTACTTCTAAGAAGTCAGGGACTGCCTGGAGTCAGATGGAGTCAGATGCTTCTTCCAAAACAGGTTTGTAAATACAGGAGATTAAATAAATGAGTAGGAGGAAGAATAAAAGAAGTTTGATAGATTGTGTTTCACATAAACCTAGGTAGTAAACCTTCCTTTATTTTGTGGTGGCAAGCACTTACACAATGTTGTTTGTCAAGATTGTTTTGGTGGCTTGTCACTTCTTAATGACATTTCAGTCACTACTAGTTCTTGTGATCAAGAACTTATTCTGATGAAAGTCATACTGGAAAAAAAAGTAAGACAGTCTTCAGAATCTTATTCTCTTGAACAAGCATTTAAGAATGCATGCTCTGTTTTTTACTGAACTTACCTGTCATGACGTGAGAAATTCCTGAAAAGAAAAGATGGCATCAAAGATAGGACAGAAATAATTTTATCAGTTTGGCACTAAAGCATACAGCATATGCTGGTTATACTGGATATTGTTCATAAAATTAAACTGGGTATATTTAAGGTATGTCTATTTACTTCCACTCTGACTGCATCTGTGGTCCATGAAAGGAGAGGCACCTCAGTGCCAAGACGCTGTTTCATAAAACCCTTTGTTGGAAAATGTGCTTAGCAGTAACGTTTCATTCTGAATATCCCACATGGGATAACTGGGCTATAACTGAAATGCATTGCATACATATAAAGCTACAATGTGGAAGAGTCTGCTTTGTTCTGTAAATGCAAAATTCAGAAAGGAAACTGTTAGTCTTAAATCTTTTTTTTAAATAATTTGGCTCTAGTTACCTTTGAAATATTTGAAAGTTGAAGGGGAACCTTTCAACTGATTCTTATTACTGAAACCTCTAAGAAATATTTGAATTGAAGAGCAATATTTAAGCTGTATAAAGGGGAGCTACAAATGCATAAATAAAAATTTAGTAGTCGGTGAAGAGGACTTTGAAGCTCCTGAGTAAACCTAACTGTTCAGTGTACTTTGAAGATACTATTTGGATAGGTTAGCCTGTGTGACAGCTGGCTGTAGTTGGATTTGCTATTAAAGTACTCTACAGCATCAGTACTTTCCAGATTTGTTCTTTCATCCTTGTTGCTCCAAGCCTTCTAAACTTGTTGCTTTTCCTTCTAAACGGGAAATTCTCCTGCATTTCCCACCCCCTCTCTCCCAAAACCAAACAGTGAACACAACTTCTCCTCTCTCAATCACCTTTCACTGAAATTAGATCTGTCTCTCAGTGGTTTTACTGCCTTCTGACCAAAGTCTGTGGACAAAATAGTTTTCCCTCACTTTTAATCCGTCAAGCTGTTTCTCACTCTGCTTTGTATCCCTTGGGTGGACTTCAGGCTGTAATTGAACTAAGTGCAAACACTTTATCCTTCTGCTTCAGGATCTGTTTCAATCTTTCCTAACTCACTTTTCCTGTTGCTGTTCTGCTTGCCGTGCTTCCAACAGCTTTCATTTGTCTGACAGTTCCTTTTTTACAAATCCTTTCTCCTACCTCGTCTCTCGTTGCTTGTGACAGAACAGTTGTTTCAGCTGCGCTCCCAGGGTAGGTGTGGTAACAGCCATGTGTTTATTTTGAAGAACAGTATGCATGTTCTTTGAATATGAAGTAGTTTATATATACATTCTGCTTCTTGTCTGGCGCGTGCCTGCTGCCTGCCTGCGGAGAGCTGTTCCGAAGCACTCTGCTTTGCGTGCTTCCCCCCTCGGAGCCAGCGAGAGAAGCAGCAGCCCCTAATGGGTATTACCTGCCCTGCCTGGAAGGCAGCTGCGTGTTACGGTCACAGGCACGGTCTGAGAGCTGGTAAATTAAAATGAAGAGGAAGCTTCTGGTTTTTGGTAAGGAAGACAGTACGAGGGATAATAACAGTTTGACAGTACGTCCTGCTTGTCGGTGTGGCTTTCAAGCAGTGTCATGACCCATTGACTGATCCCAAGTTCCTTTCACTGATGATTTTTGTGTTGCTTTAAAACACCGGTCAGTTGTGTTTCTACTCTCTGTGGCTGAGTGCTGTTGATTTAGGAATTGAGAGGATTCTGATACAAAGTACCTGTCCCTTAGTCTTATTTTGGTTTAATTTGGTTATTGTGCTGATGGACCTTTCCTGGGAAGCAATTGAAGTGGCGATGTTTGGCTCCTGCCTGTTTCTATTTTAGTTGTAGAACACGTCTCTAGTTTATGCGTTTCATTCACATGAGGTATTGCCTCTGGTACATAGTACTTCCCTTCATACATTCTTCTTGGATTCAAACAAATTCTTCCTCTGATTCCTGTATCATGTCACAGTGTAAGGGGAGTATCCAGAAAGGCTGGCTGTGTCCTCACTGTGTTAATCTCTTGTCTCCTGCAGTACTGGAGAGTGAGGGACTCCTGTAGAGAGTGGCTCAGAGCAGGAGCCTAGTTACAGCCAGCTTGGGTCACCCGCTGAAGAATCTTCTCTCTGGCCATTGCATGTATACAGAACATAGGGAAATAAAGTACACCAGGTGGAGTAGTACTTCTGTACCTCCCTTGAGTCTCTTTCTGCAACAGTCTTCCAGATTTCAGTGAAGTTCCAATGCTCCAGTTAAACTAGAAAAAAAAACCAAAACCAAAAAAAGTCTTTCCCGACAGGAGGGGTGCTGTTTTACCTCTGCTAGAACTGGTAGAAGAAATGGAAGGCTTTTGTCCATTCCCCATCCTTTCCTCCTGTGGTCATCTCCCCCAAACCTGTTTTTCTGCATTTCATACTAGAGGTTTCTTTTTCTGATGTATGTCTTTTTGTTCCAAAAACTCGGGTAAGAATAAATCTTTAAGGTGAAATCTAACAAATAATGTAAAACTTCCAATTTTTTGCAGACATACTGTGCTTTACCAGAGCAATGGTTTTTAAAGGGATTTTATTTAGTAAAGGGAAAACTCAGACAAATTACATAGACCATGACCTCACTATATTTCCTTTTGGATCTCTAGGTTGGTCTTGATTTTGTTGCAGGAAAGATGGCTGGAATTACAAGAGCTAAACCCACTTCTGACTTCAAGCAAAGAAGGCCAATCTTCAACATGTGATTCCTGCTTTGAGGGTGTATTTAGATAGCTGCTCTTCAGTGCAGGGGCTGAAGGGAGAACCATCCGCACTACTCCAGGCTCTTGAAGGAAAGACGGTTTTATGGGACAAACCAGTCTTCTGACATTACTGCCCTATAGCATTCTGTAGTGGATTTCAGTGTCTCCAGAGGAAAATCCAGCAAATTTAACGGGGCAAAGGTTTGAGAGATTGCTTCTGCTACAGTGTTGGCAGAATAATGATTCTACATAGCGCCCGCTTCAGTTTATCTAAAGCAAGATCCGTTAGCAGTAAGTTCTGTTAGTTTTTGGGGTAGGTTTTCAGGTAGGTGAATAATACAAATTGCTCGGATAAGTCTGATAAAACACCTGATTAAGGTATCATCTGTGTAACTTTATGTGGTTTGAGGCAACAGATGAGTACAATTATTTAAGATGTGAGTGGAAGCTCTCCGTTCTCTGTTTATTAGGCTGTGGAGAGAAGCTTGACCTCTCATCGTATCTATAACTACTCTTTCATACACAGAAAATAAATACCAGGTGTTGGAAAACATTTCTCCATTTTTCCCCTCTGAAATTCACACTTACTGTAGAAGCTTCCAATCTGCTGCAGTTGTTAGTGCTACTTTTTTGAGTCAAAGTACTTTGATCTTGTGATTTGATATATTTGTGTTATAAATGCTTCTTTATGTTTCGTTAAGGAATAATTTGATTGTATTTCTGGTCTGTAATCTGCTCCCCCATGGTTTGCCCCTATCCCCTGAGCCTGTGATTATAATGAAGATTCTGAAGGAAAGTGTTTTTCCTTGACAGAATGAGAAATCTTAAATAATCCCTTGGCTCACGTAGCGTCTGGAAGATTTATGATGCATGGTGGCATAGATTACTCAAGAGGTGAACAAGAATTTGACAGCTCTACAGTTTCCCTGAGATGCATGCTATCCAGAGTACTTCAATTATTGTGCACAATGTTCTTTTGACCATTTATTATCTGTTTTGGAATTGCTGTATGAAGTGCTGCGTACGTTCAGCGATCAAGCCATTTTAGTGGTTTCCCACACACATTTCTTAGAGCTGAGCAGTGTTGAGCCAGGATATAGGAGAAATTGGTTTTACATTTGTTTACTTGCTTCTGTCAGAAGTGAACTCTTACACCTCAGGAAACTCACTTATAGATGGGCAGGGATGGTCTGGTTTTGTGCACTGCAGGTGAGCTCAAGGCTCCTTAGAGGCCATCCCAAATTAACAATGGTACATAGGTTTTTCTCTTGCATAGTTTCGATTGTCGTGGGTGGGTTACCCGCTGTCACAAGATTTTCTGTCATCAGGTGGCTGTTGGAGTGGCTGTTGCATAGTATCTTGGTTTTCTTTTAGCTCCATCCTTGCCTCTTCACTTACCCTTCATGGCACCTACTGTTGGTCTGTAGATAATGAAGGAG